TCGATCCCAGGGCTCCAAGATTGACTCAATCTTTTTGTAGGTCAGTAAAATGAGTCCCCAGCTTCTTGAGGGAAACTGGCTTACAGATTGTAAACTGCTTAGAGAGTGCTTAGTTCACTAATAAGTGGCATAGAAATGTATATGCTATTGCCATGCTATTGCTGTATAAGACAGCAAAATCAAAGTATGCTTTATGCCACTTATATTTTCTGGAATATTTTCAATCCGTGAGTGCTTGAACCTGTGGATAAAAAAAATTGTGGATATGGGGAGCCAACTATTTTGGTATTCCAAAATGAAGAAAATAACAGTTCCAAAATCCAAAAGACTTCTAGTTCCAGGCATTTCAGATAAGGGTGACCCAACCTGTTTAGTACGATACGGATTATCTCACCGATTGCATTTAGAGGTTGGTGCTCAATTCAGCAGCAAACTCCAACGTAATTTTTAAAAGAAAAGTAAAATAAAAATTCTGGGTTGGAATGGAGACCATGAAGATGAGCACAGGGTCCCATCAGCCCACCACATTTATAGAGGAAAGCATAAATCGGGGACTTTGAATGACTCAGTCTGCAGGGCTGTTCTCTGTGGCAGAGAACATATGAATTGCTGGCAGCTGAGTGCACACCATGCATGTAATTCATCAGAACGCTTGCTCCGTTAAGAAAGAAATATCCTACAGCAAAGCGTAGGAAGGGATGGGGAAGGTAAAAAACCTTGACAGGTACCTTACAAACCTCTCCAATGGAGGCTTCCCAGGGGAGAGGTTCATATGAGGACAGATGCCATTTCTTTATAGCGGCACAGGGAGGTTTTGCTGAAGAATTCTTCTGCGAGGGCGGAAAGCTCTCTACATCTAAAGTCTATCCTTAACATAGAATCCTTATTTCTATGCAATCCTCTTGAGCAAAAATATCATTAAAGCGTCTGAGATTTATGGTGATGCATCACCACGGCGTTTCCTACAGACAGAAATAATGCAGGATCAGTGGGTTTTGTGTGTGAGTAGATTTCCTCATGAGAAGATGGGTTTAAACTGTTTTACGATGTTAAATTGTTTAATGTGCTACAAGAATATTTAAATTACCATATATACTTGACCATAAGTTGACCTCATGTATAAGTCGAGGGTAGGCTTTGGGGCCAAAATTACGGATTTTGGTATGATCCGTGGATAAGTCGAGGGTAAAACTTAGGGGTATGTAATCAAGGATGTAAAGGACAAAGCAAAGGAAAACAATGCCAAAGAACTTACAAAATTCAAGCAGGCATAACTGTGCTCATACTAGAGGCTGGATGGATGAGAAAATAGAGGGAGGTCAGTGCTTCCAGGACAGATTAAACTCTTGTCTTTCACCAGGAGATGGATGTGTATATATATATATAATCAAAGCACAGTACTTACATTGACCCACGGATAAGTCGGCTCAGTTTTTTTGGATCAATTTTTAAAATAAAATTCCAGACTTTTACATAACTATATACAATATTTTATGGCTTTACATTTTAAATGGCTTCGGCTGACTTCATGGTAAGCTGCCCAAGAGATGTTACAGCACATCACGGAAATATAAATATTTCAATAAATAAGCTGAATGCATTTTAGACAGAGATGACCTCTTATCTGGATTGGTTTTAAGTGTCTGTAGAAGATAGCCTCAGCAGGTTTATGGCACAAGGATACCTAGAGAAGATGGAGACTTCTATGGGCAGCTCCAGGAGACCTTCCTGAGCAAAGATATCACTAATTGGTTTTTTGAACTATTGTGACTATAATAACAATAGTGACTGCTAAGTGACAGCTCTCTCCTCCAACCATTGTTGTTGTGTGCCTTCAAGTCGTTTCTGACATATGGGGACCCTAAGGCAAACCTATCTGGGGCTGAGAGTATGTGACTCACCCAAGGTTACCCAGTGGGTTTCTTTGGCTGAGGGGAGAATCGAACCCCAATCTCCAAAGTCCACATCCTACACGCAAACCACTACACCACACTGGCTCCTCCAACCATCCTGATCCCCAAATTGTTAATCAATCAATTAAACCAACCTTTATTACAGTTAATAAACCATAAGGCAAAACAACAGCAACACGACAACAACAAAATCAACCAAAATGCCCCAAAAGTTATATGCATCTTATACACCTTATACACCTACCTATACACAAATGTGTGAGCACTCCAATATTGGAAAGTTATTAATGTGTTTGGCTAGAGAGGTTATCTAGAAAGCCAGTCTGAGAACATTTCTGAAGAGCATGGTATAAATATAATAAACAAACAAACATGGATTTTGAAGGGGGAAAAAAACTTATGGAAGAATAAGGTGAAGCAGACAGTCAGGGTTGAAAATTTAGGGCTTGCCTAAATTCCCCCGAATTCCTGCCAGGCTCACCGTGTTCTGATTAGATGACACAGGGCCAAACACTTAAATAAGGTGTGGACTGTCTTCACGATGCCTGCACCAAATTTAGGGCCTTCTCCCCCTAACCCACATTTAAATAATTCACCTTCTGCTGTGGGTTTTTAGCTTTCTTAGCCGTGACAATGGCAGACGCAGTGACAATGGTCCTGCAAGACACCTGGTGCAGGTGCAAGTCACTCTGAGGCCAGAATGAGGCACCCGGCATCGAAAGCATGGCTGGGTTCCTTGTTTTGATCTCAGCAATGGTTCTGGCAGCTGCCTGCCGTTTGCTGGAAGAACCTGAAGCCTGCAGCAAAAGAGAGAGGTAGCGGGCAAATTCAACAGGAATTTGTGCCAGAATACTCCAGAGGCGGCCTGGAGTATTCTGGCCAGTGTAGACCTACCCTCAATGATCCAAGGGCAGATATGCTAAATCGACAACCTGTTTGCACAGTAGAAATATTTGCTATAGGTAAGTCTGGAATATACTAAGGCAAAGTTGTGAAGAGCTGGAAGATACAAGGGCAGTTCCGTTGAATTATCATGGCCATGGTTGGCATTTCTGGAACAAAGAGCAACAAGCTGGATATATGGATGCCTTTTTACCATCTCCTGCATCATTTACCATCAATAAACCATGCCTTATAGCAGTAACGTGTGCCAGTCTCTAGCATCGCAAGAACCCTGCAAGAGGCCTGGGTTCACCTAGTTCCAGAAGAAGACAATGGACCTTGCGGCCCCATCCCATTCTACAATCTATGATTCTAAGTTGGACCACGAAAAGATAAGAAACTGCTAGTAGGCAAGCATACAAAGTATAAAACATTCTGGACAATTCCTGGCACATTGAAGACCATTCCATTTACCTGGATGCCCAACAGATATGTGCTCTGCCTCCCTGTATCCATGGCTGTACCTGGCCAGACAACTGAAGGGTTGGTGCGTACATGTGCAAGTAAGACAATTTATATGGAACTACCTGCTAGGAGATTTTTAGTAAAGCTTTAAAACTGATACCTCATGTTCCAGAGTCCTACTTCCAGTGTCAAAATGTCTCACATGGCATGAAATTCTATGGGAGGACATACCTTGTAAAACATTTTGTGCACATGTTGGGGGGGGAATCCTCCTTTCGGAGGATCTTGCAGGACAAGGATGGGCAAAAATGATTGCTACCAAAATGCTAAAAATGACTGCCAAAAATGCTGCTACTGCTCTATGCATGATGCACATGAGACCGATAAATCCCTTTTGCAGTGCATTCAGACCCACTATTGACTTTCTCTATAGCTGAGATGAGTCATCCATGGCTCTTGGACTACACTGAAAAACCTTCTGAATATTTCCAAATTCCTAATCAGTTTTTTTTTTAAAAAAAA